ACAGTAAGATGTGATAATGTCAGTAGTATTTTCCAAAATGGATACATAAAATAAATTCCAATTATTTAGTTAAAAATAAATATAGTTATCAGAAAAGAAAAATATGATGGTTGTGATTATTTGTGTTAATACATCTACTAGGCTAGGGTAGGATAGTTGCTTGCTTATTAAGCTGGGAGCCTGGCATTTATTAGAACAATAAGGAGGAGGCTGCAATGCTTGGTAAGAAATGTATGCATTATCTTGCCCATGTAATTGTAACCCCTCTGTATAGTATGTTCACAAATAAAATAAAATAAAAAAAATCTAGTGTCATCATTTTATTTAATTCATAAATATTGAATGTCAGAGAAAGCAAGTTTAGTTGACAATATCTCATCTTGTAATCAACTCATAACATTTTGATTAAGCAAACATTATTACCCTCAGCCACAGAAATTCATTCTGATTCACAACTTTCTCGATGGTTCTTCTCTGTCAAACACATTAGTCAATGCATGTTGAAAAAAGGACAAATTTAGATTTTCTTAGGTGCTATTTGAAAATATTGTATTATGAAATATAGCAAAATGTGTAATACTTTGGTTGAACAAAATGAATAACATGAGGTATCTGTGCAATATAGAGAAATAATCAGCCTAAGTATAGTGGCTCACTTCTATAATCCTATCTACATGGGAGGTTCATACTAAGTTAATAAGTTAATTAATTACAATTTGAGGAGAAATCAGTAAAACCCATCTCAGTTTTATATATATATATATTACATATATAATTGTATTATATACAACATATTGTATTATATATCTTATATATGTTAAAAATAAATATATGTAAATATATATTTATATAATTATATATATAACAAATATAATTATATGTACATATATATAAAATATGGCCTGGTGGTACACATCTGCAATCCAAGCTACATAGGAGGCATACATGAGGACTGTGGCCTAAGGTCAGTCTTCAACAAAAAATTAAAGCTAACTAAAGCAAAAAAAGAGCTGGGAGCATTGCACAAATGGTAGAGCCCATGCATCACCAAAAAATAAAAATATATAACCACTTGGTTTTGATGAGACTTGTTTAGCTTTAAACTGTGAACACTTCTAAAAAGATGACCTGAGAGATATCTGCATCCTCTTTTTCATAAATTGGAGTCTGAAGCAGACTAGATGGTCTTTGCCTGCATCTTTTGCAGGCACGAATGGCTATGTAATTCATTTCTCACCAATGCTGTGTAAAGTGGAGCCTGTGAGCTTTTAATCTTCTTCATGCTTTTTTAAAATATATTTTTATTGTAAGGATACTTTACAGAGGGGTTATAGTTACATGTGTAAGGTAATGAGTACATTTCCTATGGAGCATTGTTACCTCTTCCTTTGTTTTCCTCTACCATCCCTTCCTTCTCCACCTCCCCAACTCCTCCCTCTCCCCCCCATCCCCCCTCCGAAGTTCTAAAGTTCATTTTCAACATAGTGTCTTGTAATCTCATTGTTACAATGAGTCAACCTGTATCCTTATTTCAGCATTTTGTTATTTCCCTTCCCCTTCCCAAATTAGAACAATGTATATACAAGATGCAGGGCACCGGAGTCAAATACAGTGACAACAGGGGTTATACCCGGGGGAAGCACATACCAAAGTCCCATGGTTTCCCTTATTTGCAATAACTTGTGTATGTTTAGGACAAGCAGAAAAGATAAAAAGCTATGTACATATGACCAGATAAAATGATGTTAAGCGAAATGAACCCCAAGATAGAAACACAAGTGGTTTTTTTCTTTCTTGCTATTGTTTTTAATGTATTTATAATGTACTATGTGATTTTTTTTGTTTCTTTTGTATGTTCTTCATGCTTTTTGACTCAAATGTGGATGGGATGCTTAGAGTGCCAGGAAGCAATTTGCAACCAGAGACAACAGCATAAAAACAAAAGGCCAAGATGGGACAAAATGAGAGGCAGCGGGCAAACTGAGCTAGGGCTTTTATTACAATTTTGATGAACTCCTACATACCTCTTTCCTTGTTTAACACTTTTAATTATGTAAGGTGATGAAATGATTTTATTACTTAAGGAATGGCTTACCAGGTTTCTGCTGCTGCTTACTTGTGGCCACAGCATCATATCCACATAGCTCCTGTGACTTTCCAGAGGTTATTTTACAATGATTTAAAGACCAAAGCACTTGGCTGTCACAAACATGGTCCAGTTGACTCTAGAGTCATCTAAAGCAGCATTCTTCAACAGATGATGATGAAGGCAAATTTTCATAAGGAGATATATAATTGGTAGCCACTGAACACTTAAAACATGGCTAGGGGAGCCAAGTGTCACTGGTTCATGTCTGAAATCCTACATGCTCAGGGGACTGAGGACCAAGGTTCGAAGTCAGCCTGGGCAGGAATGCCCACAAGACTCTTACCTCCAATTAACCACACACACACACACACACACACACACACACACACACACACACACACACACAGAGTCTAGAAGTGGAGTAAAAACTCAAGAGGTAAAGTGTTACCTTTGAGCACAAAAAATCAGGAACAGTACCTAGACCCTGAGTTTAAGCCTTAGGACACCCTCCTCCCCCAACAGACACACAAATGTGTCTAAGAAAATTGAGGAAACCGAAATTTTAATTGTATAAGATTTTAATTAAATTTGAAATTGCCATATCAAAAAGTGAAGATATAAAGAATTGTTATTCTATTCAAATGTTAAATTACTATACTTCTCTTGAACTAAAATTCTGCCTCTAACTTTGGAAATGTTTTTTTTTCTTTAAAAAAAAAAGGCTCAAAAGTACCTCATTATGGAAAAATGATGACTCAGCGGGGCTTGACACAATATCATGTTTGAAGGCTGTTAAACAATATTTAACTTGCATATTAGCTAACTACGCAGAACTGATACCAATTTAAGCATTTCACATTGACAACTATAATAAAGGATGTCTTTTTGGAATAATAATCTTATTCAGACTACACTCATTCAGCTGTTTGTTAAGACTTTTGTATTCTCCATTATAAATGAGAAGAAGAATAATGGTGTGCCAGTCTCATTATATTGTGGGGTACAACAATTCTCTGAGATAAACTGTAAATTATAGTTTGTAGGAGACTGCTGGGTATGAGAAAAAAATCAGCCACGAAGTTCACCAATGTGGTGCCAAGAACCAGGGGAAGTGGAGAATCGGCATCAAAAGAACATCTCGTAGAAGGGCAAGGACCATGGTTACCAGAAACCAGCAGTTTGCAAGGCTGTTGCATCCTGGAACTTGTATTCAATGCCATGTCCTACACTCAAATGGAATTTGGAGTAATAATTTCCTTGACCTTTTGTGTTAGGTGTAAAATTAAATAATTAGCATGTTTACATTTGTAGCTGGTAGTTGAATTTAGAATCTTGTGTTTTCTAGACAGGTACTCTACCACTTGAACCATACTCCAAAAGTTGTTTTTGCTTTAGATATTTTTGGGATAGAGTTTTTAAAAGATTTTTTTTCCTGGACTGGCCTAGTATAGTCCTACTATATTTCTATTATTTATATTTCTGAAGTCATGGGTATGGGCCACTGAAGCCAGCTATTATTGGTTGAGATGGGGTGTCATTAACTTTTTGCTTAGGCTGGTCTTGAATAAGAGTTGTCTTGATCTTTGCCTCCTGAATATCTAGGGTTACAGATAGGAACCATTAAACCCACCTTCTACTTATTAATATAGTCCAGATAAAAAGCTAATTTTACAATATGAACCAAACTACAGACAAAAGTTTTTCTAAAATGCTGCATACCACATGATGAAATTGGTCAACCTCCTCTAATTTCTCAAAAGGCTTATGAACATACAAATTCCATCATTTCTGTTTAGCATTATACAAATTACTGAAAACCAATAAAATCCTTAAGCAAACATGTCATTATGAGGATCCAAACAATAAATGGCTATGTTTTACAAATTTGCTAAATCATATTATTAAATTACTATGAAAAACAAAACAAAACAAAAGAAGCTAATTTTACAAATGTCCAAGGTAACAATAGACTTTAAAAAATATTGTCTCTCCAATATCTTGTGAAAGACCGCAACCACTAGTAATTCCTCTATCTGGGTTGCCTCGTGGCTGCTAGAAACAGGTTGGAAAAATTCTACTTTATTGGGAACTAAAGTTTTTTTCTCTCTGGGGTTATGCTTACTTTTAAGAGATGGTAGTCAATTTGAACTGAACACCAAGACAAGTCTATGTATATTTAGTGGTCTACAAAGAAATGATGGAGAAAATGGGGTAACAGTTTGAGCAAACCATATTTACTCATTCTGTTTTGTTACACATGTAAAAGCATGCTAAGTCTTAAAAGTGTTCAATTTCTGAAAGCCATCATCCCATATTTCTATCCAAATAAACATCTGAATTATTTGCCTCTTGAGACCATTATAGAAACTAGATCCAAGCCGGGCACTGCTGGATCACGATTGTAATCCTAGCTACTCAGGAGGCTGAGATCTGAGGATCCCGGTTCAAAGCCAGCTGGGGCAGGAAAGTCTGTGAAATTCTTATCTCTAATGAACTGCCAGAAAACCAGAAGTGGTACTGTAGCTCAAGTGGTATAGCACTAGCCTTGAGCTGAAGAGCTGAGGGACAGCACTCAGACCCAGAGTTCAAGCCCCCTGACCGACAAAAAACAAACAAAAAAAAGAAACTGGATTCACCCAAGATTTGATTTTCTCCTCAGAACAACTTATTTGCACTCAATATTATGTTTGTTTATATTGACAAGGGCATTTTTCTCAATGGTTTTTATTACATTCTTTGGCAACCATGCATTTGTTTTATGGTAGCATCCAACTCTAAGAGGTAGGGGTAACTAAGCTCATATGATAGAGGGAACACCAGACATGGTTTCTAGGAATGCACCAGGTCTGAAAGAAAGGTTTATGTAGACAATGTCTCCAAGTTAGAAATGTATCAAGGCATGAAGTCTTACCTATGATATGGCTCTGAAAGGAAGAATCTGCAATAGTGTCTTCTTCATCCTCTGGCAAGTTTTCATTTGCCTCTTTTATCTGCCAAAGAAAACACTGGAGGTTAGTATTCAAAAAAAGACCTTTTCAGGATTCGTATTATATCAAAAAGACCTTTCAAAGCCAAGTGCTGGTGGCTCACACCTATAACCCTCATTACTCAGGAGGCTGAGATCTGAGGATCACAGTGTGAGCAAAGCCAGCCCAGGCAGGAAACTCTGTAGGACTGTTATTTCCAATGAATCATCCCAAATAGCCAGAATTAGAGCTGTGGGTAAGTGGTAGCAAAAAAGCTGAAGGTCAATGTCCAGGCCATGAATTCAAGACCCAGGACCAGCACCAAAAAGAAAAATAAATCTTCCAGAATCCCAAAAGAAAGGTGCATTCTATAATTACTGTACACATACATGCAGGTGTGGATCTAAGTGTTGACAGCACATGCATATACACATGTGGGTTCATTCCACTTTTCCACATTTCATTGTTTGGCTTTATCACATGTTTCATCATCATCATCATCATCATCATTATTATTTGTGCCAAAACTAGGACTTGAACTTCTGGGAGCTGTTCCCTGAGCTTTTTCACTCAAGCCTGGTGCTCTACTACTTGAACCACAGCCACATTGCTAACTTTTTTGTGGTTAAAGAGTTTCACAAGCTTTCCTGCCTGGGCTGGATTCGAACCCTGATCCTCAGATCTCAGCCTCCCAGTAGCTAGCATTACAGTGCCCGACTGGTATCACATGTTTTAATTTCAAAAGCATATTTTAAGAAATAATCTTAGTTTTGATAGAGAGGATCTAGATTACCTAATTCCACACGTTTGAGTGATCACAGTTTGGTTGTTAACGTAATGGAGTCAATAACACAGTGTTGTTAAAAATTACACACAGCCGGGCACTGGTGGCTCACGCCTGTAATTCTAGCTACTCAGGAGTCTGAGATCTGAGTATTGCGAGTCAAAGCCAACCCAATGGGGAAAGGCCATGAGACTCTTTTTTTTTGGGGGGGTGGGGTCGGTCATGGGGCCTGAACTATGGGCCCGTGAGAGGCTTATCTCCAATTAACCGTCAGACGACCAGAAGTGGTGCTGTGGTTCACCTTGAGCTGAGGAGCTCAGGGACAGCACCCAGGCCTGGAGTTCAAGCCCCACAACCACCCAACACACACACACACACACACACACACACACACACACACACACAGCCTAGGATGTATACTTCAAGAGTCAGAGAAAGCAGACCTAAGTCATTTTATTAAGAATAAAGAAACGCTCTTAAATTATACTTGGACCCTATCCTGAAATGTAATTCTCTAAGGAAATAGTATTTTTTCATTCTTTCCATCTTGAAAAGAGGTGACAAGGATATGAGATCAATAAACTAGAGCAGTGAGACATTTTTCTAGATTTTCACATTAAAAACTTTCCTCTTCTATTTCAACTAGAATACCCAAGAGCTGATTGCATTGCCTCAAATGAAACTCTAGAGTCAAGAGTCTCTCACAGATGAGAAATCTGAGGTACAGGAAGCTTCTTTAAAGTTGATACACTTTAGTAGGCTGCCACACTGGCAGGAAACACTAAATCCACTACTTCCTGATGTAGAAACTGGGTACTGTTGAGAACAAACACCTGCAGAGTAGAGGGAAATGCTGTGTGTGTCAAGTGTTTATGTGTAGGGCTCATAATCCTCTCAATAGTGCTACAGGCAGGTGCAATAGGTGCTGATCTCTGTAGACAGTAGAACTCATATCAAATGAATAGAGAAGATATAAACTGTCCAACTGGAGCTAAGCTGTAAACATAGTGAGTCTGACTGCAGATCTGTGTTTGCTTGGGAAGACTGTTATTCTCAAATTTCTATTCAACTCATTTATCTATACCTACATAGAGTTGCCTACAGTACTAAGACAACTGAGGTCTGTGGCAGAATAATCCAACATAGTTTCTTATAAAATAGATTGTAGCTGGTCACCTAGTACTGAGTGCCAGCCTGTATTGAACAACTATACAATGTAAAGAGGGCTTGCTCAGGGACGTATATTAGAGGTTCTCAGTGGATCTGATCAGGGGCTGGAGGTGAATTCGACAAAACCATTATTTTACACTCAAAATGTGTGAAGTCATTTGATTGCATCCTGACCTTGAGCTATATTTAAATTTCTACTTATCCCTTCTTATATTTCACACTTAATGGAATAAAAACAATTATTTACATTTTATGACTACAGTTCAAATAGTAGAAGGCAGCTGGTGCTTAATGTGTGCTATATTGATAGCCAGGAGCCATCAAAGCAGATATGGCAGCCACTGCCAGCCTCACAGAGTGGGACTGCCATGAATTCGGTGTCCCATGGCAGTGTTTTACCATTTTCTCCATCAACTGTCTGTTCTGTGGGCATGTACCTGCCGATTTGCACCTCCTCAGGAAAAGGCAAAATGATGGAAGACAGAAGAGGAAAAGGCTTCGTCCACTAACTGCTTCCCACCCAGCACATTTATGGAGAACAGAGAAGAAACGCCTGATGAGCCTGCACAAAGCTACTTACTTGTCTTCTGAGCTTCATGAAACTCAGGGATCTATTTGTGACACAGCTACCGAAAGACCCACTGAGGAAAGTTTCCCGCTAACACCTTGATTTCTACTCATAATCCATAGGGAGCCTTACTGTCTCATTTATAGAAACATCAAGAAAATCTACATCTTCGGTTCATACCAGTCCTTAGGACAACCTGTTCCTGTTTCCTACCACCTGTTCATGTAAAGTAGTATTTCCTCTGGTTGTTCTAAATTTACCCATTAAATCTAGCAAGGGTACCTTCCTAAGCTGTTGGAATGTGGGTGAAGTTTTCCTAAGTGAGCCTGTGAAATTCTAAACTGCAGAACTAAGCAATTGAAAAGAACTTCTCATTCCATAAAATGAGGCTCAGAGAGGTTTGTGATCAGTTCAAAGTCACAGAGGTTTTAGTTTTAGAAATGAGCTTTAGTTTTCTACCGGTGAATAACCATTTTTGCAGCACCATTTACTGAAGAGGCTGTCTTTCTTCCATTCTACTTTTTTAGCTACCTTATTGAAGATTAGGTGGCTATAGATCTGTGGGTTCATTTCTGGGTTTTCAATTCTCTTCCATTGGTCCTCAGGTCTCTTCTTGTACCAGTACCAAGCTGTTTTGATTACTATGTATTTGTAGTAGAGTTTGAAATTTGGCATTGATATTCCTCCAGCACTGTTCTTTCTGTTAAGGATTGTTTTTGCTATTTGGGGTCTTTTATTGTTCCATATGAATTTTTGGATTGCCTCTTCTATTTCCTTGAAGAATGAGGTTGGAATATTGATAGGTATTGCATTGAATTTGTAGATAGCTTTGGGAAGTATTGCCATTTTCATGATGTTGATCTTTCCAATCCAGGAGCATGGGAGGTTTTTCCACTTCCTAAGTTCTGCTTTGATTTCCTTTTTCAGGTTTTTAAAGTTTTCATCGTAGAGGTCCTTCACTTCTTTAGTTAACACCTAGGTATTTTATTTTTTTGTGTGGGGCTATTACAAAAGGAGTTGTTTCCCCAATTTCAGTTGCACTCTTCTCATTGTTGGCATACAGAAAAGCCATTGATTTTTGAGGGTTAATTTTATACCCTGCTACTTTGCCAAAGTTTCAAATCAGCTTGAGTAATTTGGGAGTGGAGTCTGTGGGATTCTTTAAATGCAAGATCAAGTCATCTGCAAAGTGGGAGAGTTTTACTTCATCTTTCCCTATTTGGATCCCCTTTATGGTTGCATCTTGAAATTAACACTCCACATTGTTATAGGAATCCTCACCAGATCTTCCCAACAACTACTATACCTTTCTTGCCATCTGAAGGTTAGATATGGAGCCAATGTCCCAAGTATTCATAAATTATAGTACTTTAAGAGTTGGGGCTGGGAAGGTAGCTCAGTGGTAGAGTACTTGTCTTGCATGCACGAGGCCCCGGGTTCAATTCCTCAGCACCACATAAGCAGAAAAAGCTGGAAGTGGTGCTATGGCTCAAGTGGTAGAGTGCTAGCCTTGAGCTGAAGATTTGAGGGACAGCGCCCAGGCCCAGAGTTCAGGCCTTATGACCGCCAAAAAAGAGTAGCACACCTTCTGTACGTATGTATGTGAATATATGTATTGTGAAAGAGAGACAGATAATCCAGCTCTGCTTCTCTTCCCAACTATTCCCTAGCTCTCCAGTGCAACTTATTGAAGAAAGCCAACATAAGCTACTGTACAATTCTACTTGTCAACTCCTTACCAAAACTTTCCCAGAGCTTTAAGTGCTCAAGAGCAAATACTGGATGTAACTTGCAGGGACTCATGCAAGGAACTGGTGTGGTAACCATGGAGCTTTGTTCTTTCAGTTTTGTGGGCTGGTTAACTCATGAGGGAAAAGGATGAATCTGCAAGGAATGATGAATGATCAGCAAGTGGGGACATTGCCTGGGAATGATGTAGTCCTAAGCTCTCATTATCCACACAAATAGATTCAATGCAAAGTAGTGAATAATTTTTAAAAAATCCATTTGCCTATGGAAATGAGGGGCACAATCTATTTGGCAGCAGATTCCCACTGCTAATTATATTTTTTCATCGGATCAAATTTAAATGAATTTTAATTCATAATCACATGGTTTGGGAACCTTCCTGTTGGTTACAGAGCTCCCAGTCATGATTAAGAATTTTCCAGAAATAGACTCAGGTATGCCAACTTTGTCCTGGTAAATAAAGCACTGCAAAGAATGGGAATGGGCACAAGACAGGTGAATGGAATTTCCAGTTCATTGCCATCCCATGGTAGGTAGAAGTCAATAATGTCCCACTAACTAGGATGTAGAAAACAACTAATTAAGGGTTGGTTTTGATTTAAGATTGTTGATTGTCTTTTAATGATGCCTCTCTAACTCGTATCCACATTTTGAGGCTTTGCAACTGTATTCTAGAACAATTCCAGATGCTAGCCTTTAACGAACAAGTATTAGCATATCCCCAAACTTGTCATGTACTACTAACTCTAGTCACTAGGAAGCGAGAAGGAAATGAACCAAAAAAAAAGCAAAAAAGAAGAAAGAAGAAGGAAAGAGAGAAAATCATTTACCACAGATGAGTCCACATACCCATTTCTCCCTTCATCTGGAATTCTGCACAGATCTCTTTGAATCACCCTGATAGTAAGGGTTACTCATGAGAACAACATGTTTAATGTCAGAGCTCATTTGAACAGACAAAGGGTATTGAATCAATAAGAGACAGGAAGTAGTCCTGGAATGAAAAACTAGTCAACATAATCTTTGGAAAAGTGAGTCTTTTAGAAAACTTTTCAAGAGGACAAAATGTGCAGGCCTCTTATTTGCATCAAAACAGCATTTAAAACAGAATCATTCAATTAAGGAATGAAATTATAACATTTTGGTGAACTTAATAAGAGGATAACAATTTATGTAATTATTGTACTATTTTCTGCTATTTCATCACCAGAGTACCATTTTAATGGGATGGTATTTGATGACTTTTTATTAGCAGATGTGATTTTTTTAGACTATGTGACACTTGGGTGAAAAGAATACCCATAATTTAAATTAAAATACCCATATTAAAGTGGCTATTTCTCTCCTGTGCATGATGAAGGTTTATGATCTCGTTAACTTTATTAACAATTTTTATTTTTGTCCAGAGGTGTTAAATAAGAGCCTGAAGCCATCTTCCTCTGAGACTTCTCATTTCAGCAAATGATCTTTTTGCACAGAAAGGCAGCAACTGTAACATACAGTGAGCAGAGTGCACTTCTGACTTACTGACTAAATGCTTGACACTGTCTTCCTGTGTTGTCCTTCCTCCTTCTTTTATCTGAATCACATAAAATTATTTTAAATACAAAGGAACATGACCCCTAGTCTAAATTACTCAAAAGTTAGAGCTAAGTGGTCCATAAATGGTGGCAGAAATGGGAACATAAGCATCTAATTAAGGTTCTGAAAAAAGAGAAAAATTTATTTCAGCAAAACATCACTATGATTTTTACACATATTTTAGAAAATACCTTGACAATACTAAAAAGAAATGTACATTTACTGTTGAATCAAGTGAATTGAAAAACAAAGATGTTTTATATATATATGGAAATAATCTAGTATTAACATTATGCATTAAAATAGATATTAATTATTAAATGAGAAGTATTCATTACTAATGAGTAAAATGCCTGAGGATTCTCACTAGTAAATACAATCCTATTTGTAAAAAGACAAGAAATGATGGTATGTTATGTCATATGTTTTGGAAAATTTATTTCATTAAAAATATAATATGCACTATATGAAGGTATTGTTTGCATCCACTACAACTACTATGAGAAAAACTTTTTTGCAACTCACTTTAAAATAAGGAGGGAGCAAATTTACTTTGAAACACCATAGAGAATTCCCTGAATTTTAAAAGGTTCATGGCATTCACTTCTATGTGCTGTGGGATCAGATTGCATCTTATTTTGTATCTAATCTTCTTCCTATATAGGCTGATAACATGGAACAAATGGGCTTTCACTGTTGTTCTTGTACTCCCTTAGGGGTCTACAACAGTGTTCTTTCTGAAATTAGTAATTTTAGTCTAGTTCACACTGATAATTATGGAAATGGTGGTGCAAAGAAAACACATAGTATTTTACACTTTAAAAAATATGACTTGCTGGTCATCTATGAAGGTTAATAATATTCCTCTGTATGAAAAAACTTCTCAGCATGACTAATGTCTTCTTGAAGCTAACTAGAGAAATTAGCATATCCTATTGATTATTCATATTTTGGGGTGGCCTGGGAGTCTTTGTTCTCACAGAAAATAGTGTTTCTTGCAGGTAGTCAGTGAAAGACCTAATGACAGTTATTACTATCCTGTGAAAGACTGCAGAGGAGAAGAGGAAAGCTTGGTGGATTATTTTAGCATTAGTAAGCACTAAGAAAGAAAAAACGAAATCATCAAAGGCAAACATGAGGTCTTTGTGTTTCTTTGGTACTTCCGTATGGTGAAGATCTACCCTAAGCTGTCAGAACTGTATTAAATGGGGCATAGTTAAATGCAGCACCTCGATCAGGGGCTCTGCTGGGCTATCAAAGTTTTCCATCAGCAGGATTGAATTTCCAGCATACTGCACATTTCTACACATCCGTTCTCTTTCTTCCCTTTCAGTGTCACTACAAGGGCAGCCTTAGATATGCTTATAATTTGTGGCTTTTATAATGCAGGGGGCATCTATGTTTTCAAAGAAGGAATGATACCACAGGATCAAGAGCAAGAATGGGCAGGAAAATGGAAAAATATTTGCAGTGAACATAGTCTGCTTGTGATTTCAGACAGTCTGGAGAAAGAGACCTTATAGTTCCTTGAAGTCAAGAGCTACTTGATTACATATTTTAAATTATATCTCTTTCAAGTTAAAATATATTTATGAGATTCTAAGATATGGTAAACATCTGTAAATAATGAATAATTGAAAACTAACAAAAATAACTATGGCTACTTACAGAATTTCCTCTGCCCCTCCCTGAGCTATCTCTAACTACTCCTGCCATATTTCACATTTTGCTTCAGAAATGGGACTATGTCTCATGTGTTGTATCATCTTTATTAAAGTATGAAAAGATATGATAATTCTGTAAAGAGAAGTTTTTGGTTTAAGTACTTTTAAATGTACTAAATGGAACAATGAAGACAATTAAATCAAGTATACAAGCGTATAATGAATGTAAGGACAGTAAGTGTAATAAAAGGTTCTAAGATAAAAGTATATTTAAATAAAACTAGCATAACCTAGGGAAATATAAAGATCATTTTTAATTAATTTTTTAGAGCAAGTCTATCTGTTCTGGATCTAATACTTAAACAACCAGGCAATAGCCAAGTTTCCAAAAAATAATTCATAGGCTTACCGCTTTCTGTCTATATAGGATGAAATGGTACGTATAACTTTCATTTTTTAAAAAAGAAATATTTAAATCACTGCAGCTTCATATCTAAAATCACATGCATCTCTGTTTCATTGCTAGTGATGTTGGAAATCATCATCAAAACGAATTTCCAGCACAAGGTATAATTTAAAGATGATACCGCTAGCCTCATTTGCTGGCACTGAGCAGCTATTATACCATTGTTCTGAAAATAGAGCTGAAAGAAGCCTAGTTCCTCAAGGGGGAGGCCTACTCATGGTCTAGCTGCCATTTCCCTGTCACAGTTGTCACTAAGATTTCTATCTTCTTTCAAAACAATCTTGTACTCATGTTGTATTAGAAAAGAGTGAAAAGAATCCAGCCAGAGCATCCCAGAATGAAGCACTTTAAAGAAGGATGGTGGAACACTTACCAGGGAATCTCTTGGTGTTTCCATATCAGCTTTGATTCTGAAGTTTTTCTTGTGGCTTCCTTGGGTGCTGCCAGAGCTGCCAGTGAGACAGGAGTCCTGGGAAGTGCCCTTTAGCATGCTCCTGCAGGAAGCATTATTTGATCCACTTTCTGTCGGTTGAGCTCCTTTCTTATCAACTCTGCAGGTAGAAAGTGAGTCCTCTGATCAATTCCATTGCTGGACTTCAATCACTCTCCTTTCCCTTTTATGCTTAACGTAACTTCCATGTAGTTCTTTGTCTTTAAACCTTGGAGTGGCATGTGTTACTCACTAGACTTGTTCAGACTTCTATTATTCCAACAGTATGTCAATTTACATTTGATACTGTACTTAGTTAACTTTTTTGATGGCTGTGGGGGTAGGCAAAGTAAAAATCACCAAAAAATAATTGCTAAATACATCTCTAGCTCTAGATGGGCAGGAAAAGTGTTTCTGGAAAGTTTCTAGGTATACATTTGCTCAGTATAATCAATGAAATCCGCATCTTTAAACCTTATGTGTAATTTTCTTCCATTTCATGCCATGTGGATATATTCATGGTTCCTCGTGTAGGCTGAAATTCTATCAACCCTGATAAAACTACCATTCTTTAATTTCAAAGACCATTGGTTTGGTTAACAAAGTAACATGGACTAAATTATCATTTTATTGCTAACTTTTATTTCATTGTTTAAATCCTAGCCAATGTGTTGAAAGACTGCATTTGTGCTTATGTGGAAATCATGCTTGGCTGGCATTTAACCTGCAGGAAGCAAACCCCTCTCCTTATAGGGGAATCTCGGGGACACCATCTACAGCACCACCCTCTATTCCAAGGAGTTACCTGTTCAAAAGTTCCGTCATAAAGGTATCTTTTGTTGAACCTGAAACAGGGCTGGGTCTATTTCTCTGTTCAAACTTCACTGGGGTGTAACTGTCTTGTGAGGTTTTCAGATTCTTCTTGCTTTGGAAACCACTGTCTGGACTTTCTGCTGACTTAGTGTCTCTGTGAAGCTCATTTTCTGTCTCACATGGGAGTTCAGGCTTCTTTCGGTCTTTTTTTCTGTCTGATTTTAGTTGTTTGTTTCCAAACCCCAAGCCTTTTGTATCTTTCTTTTCTACTTTGGTTTTAGAAACATCCATCTTCCTGCTACTGAGAGCTGGAAGTCTACTCTTCCGAAACCCAAACCAGCTAGCAAAAGAAGGCCCGGCCTTTGGTTTGGCTTCTACAGATGTGGACTTTGTTTGCACTTGGCCCTTTTCCACATTTTCCTGAATGCACAACATGACTTTTTCTTCGATTGTGGGTGAGAGGGGGGCCTCTGGGCTCACAGCACCAGTTCCAGTAGTAGGGCCATCTGGATGCCTTCCAGAAGTTTCCAACTTGTCCAGCCTGCTTGTTTCCAAATCGCTTGGATGCTGCATCTTCCCTAAGGCCTGCAGGGCTCCAGGGCAGTCTGTTGTGGTGGTTGGGCACCTGCAGTGCTCATTGCTTTGCTCCTCAGGTACACCCACCTGGGGATTTTGTTCCTGAACACAGGCCTGCTGTTCTTCCGTTCCAGGCAGGGCAAGGAGCCCTTCACTCTTTGGGTGAATCCTCAAAGGCAACTTGCTGGGGCTTCCTTGCTGGCTGCTTGAGCTGCTCATGCTCCCCAGGGAGGCCTGCCTAGAGAAAGGGTGCTTAGGGGCCCTTCCAGAGCCAGGGAGGCTCTCCTGGGCCGGGGCAGAAGGGCTCTTGTTGGGGGAGCCCTCCGTGGAGGTGTTCTGACGGGTCAGAGAGTTGCCCCTCTCCGCAGTGTTGGTAATAATCTGAGTCCGGATTTTGCCTGGCCCTTCCATGGGAGGTGTGGAAGGTTTGTCTCCTGAGTGGATGCTGAAGCTCTGGCTCCGGGCTTTGGCACCATTCATGCCCAGAGCTGGCTTTAGGTGAGGTTTGCTTGAAGAGAGAGATCTTTTCACTGGTCGGTTTTCCATCCTCTCTCTCCCTTCAGCCCCGAGGATGCTACCATCCAAGGGCTCGAGCTGAGTTGTTTCCAGGAGCAGCCCTTCGGCTGCACTGTCTGGCACCTGTAAACCCAGTATGGCTGTGTGCCTTTCCCTGCCTGAGGTCTCCAGTTCTGTGGGACTCCTGCAGTCCTTGGGCTTCAACTTGCTGGCGACCACAGAACTCTTCGAGGCCTCGTTTAAACTGTCCTTCTCTTGCTTCCCTGGCACTGTGGAACTTTTCCTGAGCAACTGTGGGGATCTCATGAGAACTTTGAGTCCTACCGGAAGGCGAGTTTTCAGTCCTTTTTCATGAGTGTTCTGACAACCAGGTGGGGTATTATGGCTTTTGGAAGAGGAGGGAGAGGAGGAGCAAAAGGAGGGACTGTTCACCTGAGATGATGGTGACTCATTACCCCCTGAGGAGGGAGGCTTGGGGCATGTCGGGGCACTGTCACCCAACTGTCCTTTTCTTCCTGGAGAAGCACTTTTGGAGGATGGTGTCTCCAGAGGCTCATGAGTTGAAGAACAAGTCTTGGGTGTCTGGAACCCTGTGTCTGTGTGTATGGTCTCAGGTGTTTGGGAAGGAGATGTTTGGGGGATACTTCTTTTGGGAGAGACCTTTGGAGGTCCGGGGGCCATCATGGCAAATGAACCCGAGGGTGTATGAGCAGGACATCTGGTGTGAATCATGGCTTCCAGAGGGGGCAGAGGCTGAGTGGAAATAGGCTTTTTAAAGGCCATGGAAGGTTTCCTCCTCAGTGCTTCTGTCATGGTGTTACTAGAAGAAATAGCAGGGGCAGAGGATCCTTTCAGGAATGGGGAGCTAAATCCTGTCCTTGCTGTGGCATTGGGGACCCTGGTTTCAGACTTGGCAGATAAGGGTGATGGCCGACAGTCATGACTGGGCTTGAGTAACAGAGAGACTGATCTGTCTGGAGGTGATGGTAGGGGGGTAGGGTTCATCCCAGCATCTGATCCAAAGTCACTGTGTCTGTCCCTTGTGGGGGGTTCTCCACTGTCTTCAGGTTCTATGAAGGGCCTTGATTGTGACCCTGGAGTCTGACTCTTAGGGCAATAGACCCACTCCCTCTTGCTTGGTATTTTGGAGCTATGAGGAGGGTGGGCAGGGTGTTTTGGAATGTGTGGATCTGCTCTTATGCCACAGAGGGGTCCTGGGTTCTCTGTCTTCACGAATCTTGAGAGTTTTCCTGTAGGAATGCCTGGTGATTTCTCAAGATTCACTGGGCCAGAGGAAGGAACAAGTGTGGAGGTTTCAGCCTCTATTATTCTTGATTTCTGAGGTGAAGACTTGCCCCTGGCAGGGAGTTTGGTCTGACTTTGCTTTTGACAGATACCCACAGGCACCAAAGACCTAGAAATGCTCTTGCATGACATACTGTGTGTTGAATTGGCCAGTTTCTGCTGACAGGTGCTTGGAGTGGCTGTCCTAGGATGGAAAGAGTCCATGGACACTACAGGAACATGGCCCACCTCAGATTTTGGAATGTTTCTCTCCATTTCCTCCTCAGGTCTCCTCAAGAAGGGATAATCTCTAACAGCAGCTCCTGGCTGTAAAAGAGCTATTCCCTGAGGTAAGAGTTCAGTGTGTTCTGCCTTGGATCCAGCAGAGGCTGTGTTGATAGAAATTTCATCCCTGGTGACAGTGACAACTCCAGTCTGGTGTGAGCTAAATTCAACAGGCTCACCATTTTCTGCATCAAATATCACAGTAATGCATTCCTCTGAAGAAGTCCTTTTCACCACCCTTTGTTGCTTAATGAAACTAAATGTCTGTGGCCTCATCTCTGAATGGTTGGGTACTTCCTTTTCCTCCTCATCAGGAAACCCACATTCCGATTTTCCAAAGCCCACGAGGATGTCAAGGTTCTCCATGGACTTGTCAGTGTCAGCAGTCAACGATAGGTCTGATGGGCTTCTCTCATCGCTGCTCTCTATGTGCAGCTCATCTGGGGGTTCATTGTCATCAGTGTCTGAAAGCTGGAGATTGACTGTAGTGTGGTCCTGGCCTTGACTGGGTGACTCCCTTTGCACCCAAGGTACCTGCCCACCTGGGTGCAGCTTCTGTTCCAAAAGACAGTGGCTAGCACAACGAGCCAGTCTTTCAGGTCTTTCCCTGGGGTAGACTGAGGCTGAAGCTTCTGGAAAGTGTTTTCCATGTGGCTCCCAGCCAAACAGGCTGTCAGAAACACTGTGTGTTAACTTACTGCTGTGCAGCCTGGATCCCTGGTGTGGAAGTGTTTGCAGCAGTGCTAAGGAAGAGGAATCATCTTCAGCCTCCTCATGAGAATCTGTATTGTAGGTAAATGTCCTGTGGGGTTCCCTGCAGGGGCTCCTCGTGCCAGCTGGATTGCATGGAGGATAGTCCTTGAGGCTGCTGCTCTTAATTCCTGGAGAATATATTCCTTCATTCGAGTTCATGCAATCTTTATAACCCCATTTGGTGATCACTGATGGGGGTTCAAGTAATACTTTCCGCTTCTGTAACTTCCTTAACCCTTCCAAAATGTGGCTCTCTTTGATACGGGTTGGAGGTAGTTCATCTGCAGGACTCGCAAAGCCACTTGGGAGTGAAGAATCAATACTCAGTCTTTTATCCCAGTTCTGTGATGATTGCTAAGAAAGAAAAGTAGATATCAGAAATGATTGAACCATGAGGAATAGAGGAGATGCATTTAATCAAAGGATATTATATGCATACATGGAAGTATCACAATGAAATCCCTTTGTTCAATTTGATGTTGATACAATTGGGGGAGGGGAAGGGAAAAAACAAATTGTTTAATTAGGGATACAGGTGGACCCATTGCAACAATGAGATGCACAAGATACTATGTTGAAAAATGAACTTTACAACTGTGGTGTGGGGGGGGGGAAGAGGGAGGAAATGGGAAGGGATGGGAAAGGGGAAACAAAGGAGGAGGCAACAATGCTTGATAAGAAATGTACTCATTATCTTGCCCATGTAATTGTAACCCCTCTATACGGTATTTTCACAACAAAAAAATTTTTAAAAAGAAATGATTGAACCATTCAGATCACAAATATACAAAAGGAAAAGCATACCAGTAGACTTAATTGGTATAATTAATGAATAAGTATGCAAAATTAAGTATGCATTGTTAAGGATGTGATAAGCACTGATTTTTGTCAGGCTCTGTACTACAGTAAAATAAATAAGTAGGAGGTAAAGACTTTTCTTGCAACACCCAACAGGAAGAAGGGAACTTAGCCACAAAAATCCCTCCATCAAGGGAGCACATGAGAAGTTCACATAAGGAGGGCATTCTAGAGATTCACAAGTCTGTTTGGAAAAGTTGTAACAGGCATATGGAAAAGCCACTTTAAATTACCTAGTGCTTGAAAGATAAAAATGAGAAAGTGATTTCCAGATTGAAGAAATGAAATGGTCAGGGAGATATGCTCAAGGTGTAATTAGGGAATGCTCCAAAGAGAATGTGACCTCACTATAGAAGGTCAATGAGAGTCAGAGAGGGCAGAGCCAGAAAAATAATTTAGGCCATATGTTTGTGTGTGTGTGTGTGTGTGTGTGCGCGTGTGTGTGTGCGTGCGTGCATGCGCGCGTGCGCGCATACAAGTGTGCTAGTATTGGAGGCTTCAATTCAGGGCCCTGAGCTCTTATTTGGCTTTTTTCACTCAAGGCTGGAACTCTACCACTTGAGCAACACCTCCACTTCTGGCTTTTTGCTTGTTAATTAGAGGTAAGAGGCTCTTGGATTTGTCTGCCTGGACTGGTTTGATCCACAAATCTCAGCCTCCTGAGTAGGCTAAGATTACAGGTGAGGGCCAGCAGCGCCTAGGTGGTCCATTACTTGTTATCTTCTGAAGTTGTTATTTACATGTGTGTGCTTGTACATATCTACTTACATATACCTGCTGGCCATTTGCTATTAGAACCTTAGGGTAATTATTCTTCTACAAAGATCAGTGTCCTACCCTTCCTTTCCAAATGTCACACTCAGCTTTGGAAAAGTATATGAGAAATAATGCAGGCAAAAGACCATCTTCAACACATTTGCATTTCTCATCCTTTTGGCAACAAGAAAAGAAAAGGCAGAGGAGGGAACGTCTGGTACTGAGCATGTGATATGTACCATCCGATTACACAGTGCTTTGGCTGCAGTCTCAGATCACCTCAGCGAGACATTCTTTCCCATTTTGCTGTAGAAAACCCTGAGATTCAGCAAGCCTGATCTGGAGAACATGGCAGAAATAGGACATCTGAAGCAAACATTTGAACTCTGGTTTCCCCAGTACTTTCTATACCACCACTGTCAATTTTTGACTTAGTTCAAAAAGGGCTGGAGGGAATGTGAACTTGGACAGTTGAAATCTAGAGTCTGCACTCTTAATCTCTGTGCTACACTGCCAAGTCTGGCTTAGCTTTAGTCTCCTGTCTGTGTGCCTCAGCATCCTAACAGAGACCACGGTTTCCCTGGCACTGTTTCTTCAATGGGATTTTCAGTATAAATAACAAACCAATACTTGGGGAAATGAAAAAGACAGAAAAGCTTACCTTTATTCTTTTTTTAAAAAAATGTTATATTCTTACTGGTGAATAACTTTAGGGAAAGTCTGGTAACTACACAGGAGTACTCTATACCAATCTTTGCTACCCCAGCCAACTGCAAATGTTAACCACATGCTCAAATGCAGAGACTTTAAAGTGTGAGAAACTTCCACTGGAATCTAGGTTTTATAATAAGCTGGGAAAAGTCACTAGCATCTAAGTTATTATTTATATTATCTGGGAAACTCGGTGTAAGAGTTACAGGGGACAAATGCTATTTGGCCATGCTGATTCCTCCCATCTTCTTTCTCTGCACCATTAAAAGCTTCTTTGGAAATCAGAATAAATCTCATGGGTGGGTCTGGTTATTATAGACTGACCAGAGAGAAGGCTACTACAGCCTAAGGATTTCCATGATCCTGATGCCATATTGACAATAAAGAGGAGAAGCCAACTAAAAGTGGCCTGTGAACTACTGGAAGAGGCAGATTTGTTTAACCCACAGAAGGCTGCTCAACCTCTGCCCACCCACCTTCTTTCTACTCTTCCAGAGCCCATGCTGTGCTTTGTTTAGCTGCAGCAAACCTCCCAGTGGGATCAGCCACATTCCTCCATCAGCTTTCCACAGGAGGTTATGTTATTTAATAACCTGTGAAAAGCTTACACTGATCTTGAAACTTAAGGTCAGATGTAACAGTGAGTGTCTTCTGTAGGGGAGAGGGTGGAAAGGCATGACATTTCCCCTAAGCTACTGTGTTCTTTGTGGGGGCAATGTTGGTTGGTAGAGAGTTGCTTTAGGGAACTGGATGGGTGGTGTCAAGATTGCTGATACACATATACCTATAGATTTATATGCATATATATATTTGTGTGTGTATATATATATACACATATATATGTATATATAATTGCTGGCCTTAATAGGAACAAAGTCATTTCAAAAAATGGCATAACCCCTCTCTAACCAGCACTCAATAAGTCCAGAACCTTTAAGAGTGAAGTTTCTAGAACTGAATGATTGATTTTTTGTCATGTACTACCTTTGAACTCTTGAGCTTGTTAACGAACTTTTAGCACTCTAAATGCTTCATCTGTAAAATGGGGAGAACAGGAGAAACTATTCAATAACCTATCATGAGATTAAATAAGCTAATATTTATACAAAGCTATATGGCAGTGATTTATTAACTGGAGCCAAATCTCTCCATGTAGAGCAGGATGGTGAATTTCATGAAGGCTTCCTTTCTGTTCTACAGTAAACAATATTTCCAAAGATACTGTGAGCTTAAACAGGTTATTATGATTGCTTTATTATTATTCAAAGTAATTGTGTTACCATTCAGATTCATATTATTTGAGCATATCACAGAAGTTCATACTAAGAGAACACCTGCTTCTAGGTAAATACTGTTTGGAATTATTTAACTAATATGATTTAAAATGCCTTGCTAGTCTGAATCTAGCTTTCTGGATCCCTGAGAACCAGGACTACACAATGAGATATAACAGGTATATAAGGACTCCAGAGCTATACCAGTATGGACACCTGAGTGTGCACAGAGTCATAAGAACTTTTTGTTTCCACCTTTCAGAGTAGATATTTTCTCATACCATCACACTTCTATAACTGGGAGAGTATCAGGTAAAAGTTTCAAAGGAAGTAAGAAGGTTGAGGAAAGGAAAGAGGAAGGTATGAGAGAAGGAAATGAGCTGATAAGGGAAAGGGCTGTGTGACTCAGCTACATGCAAAGACAGAGCAAGGAAACTATTCCAACCATCTTCCCAGTCTGGTACAAGCCAGGCCTCTGGCAGTCATTCTTCAGAGCCCTGAACAACTCCTTAGAGGAAGCAATTTTGATAATGCAGCAGGCTCTCTATTTTGCATTAGACGTCTGAGTCCAAGGGAATACGCTCTAAATGAAAGCTTGAAGTCTTTTTTTTTTTTGAGTTCTTGTTCAGTGGATGACAAAACTACTCCCTCACCGATATATTCTGGAAGTTATGGAATTTTCCTGGTGCCTACATTGCTGAAAACATAAACTAAATTTATCCAACTGGTAGAAAAAATGACTTCTAAGTATTCTGATTTGGGGTTTCCAATTCTCATGTAGTCTGTTTTGCTTCAACTTTGTGAAACTGACAAATAGCTTTTTCAAAATACTTGGTTTGCACCAGTGTGCAAAAAATTTTGTTCAGTGTATGAAAAAGTCTTCAGCTGTCTGAGCCCAAGATGCAGAAGAGAGGTATTTTCAAGGAGAGTAGTTTTGTACCAACCTGCAGGTGATCTGGTATTTGAGTAGAAATAGGACCATCTTCACTGAAACCTTGTCCCTATGGTCTAACACAGTATTTTCTCTCTGTGTCACGTGGTCCTCCAATTTCGAGTCAAATCCTGTTTTATGAAACTCTAGCATTGATTAGGAGTCATTTTTTGTTCTTAGTTCTCCTTCTACCCTCCACCTCTAGGATCAAATTCTACCTGAAGGTGGTTCTTGTCGGATCCCCTCACACTGAAATATTATGCAAGGGGCCCTTACCCTCTTTCTCAGGTTCTTCCCATCATGCCATGTGTAGGAGGAGCCACTGGAGTATTCGCTGCAGGTGCTTGAAAGAGACAGTTCACTGCTGCTGCAGCTGTTTCCGGTACACAGAGGGCCAGGGATGATGACACCCAAGCCAGGGCATTTCAAGACAGGGGTTCCTGGTTTTGCATTCACTTGGTGTTCCTAAAAGAGAGACACACTCTGAACAAGATTGTAAAGAGAAAGATAGGAAAGAGAAAATACCAACTGAACTACATATTGAATGGTTAAAAGTACAGACTGGATCTGGAGAGTCCATAGGTTCTAATCTTGGCTCTGCTTTTCACTGTGTGGCTACAGGAAAATTACGTTACCAGCTACATTTTTCCTTCTAGAAATGAATGATAAAAATATTGCTTCCATTACAGGGTCATTGCAAGAGTACACAAAATTCTAGATGTGAAAGCACAGACATCAGAGCACAGTGTCTGGCCTCTAGTAGGTATTCAATTATTACAAGCTACCGCCATTATTAGGCAAAAGTATGCTAATATTGGTTCCATATTTTATCAAACCACAATGGTAAGAGAATCAGACCAATATCAAAACACAAGTCAAGATCTGGAGATGTAGCTAAATGGTTGAGCGTTGATTAGTTCATGGAGGTTCTAGTTTGATCTCCATAACACTGAAAGGAAACAAAAATATTGCTTAAGTGGCATAAATGAAAGCTATAGTGTTCAAGATCATAAACATGAGATGGCCATTTGAGATCTGGTTATGTACAATTACCAAATACACAACCTTGAGCAACGAAAACATCAACTTCATGGTGTTCCAAAGCCTCAAGGCAGCCTTCTGGCTCTGATGGAATTATTCTAGTCCTTTCATCAAATGGACACATCCTATCTGTGCCACTTACAAGAAATCACATACAGCAAACATGAAACTAGGTTATCAGGAGGTCTCTACCTCATAAGATAATATGACTTGGGGTACCCAGTTGACAGTCCTGGGTCCCCTGAAGAAGTTTCTGGCTGTTAGAATTCTAGTGGGTCTGTATAAGAGTTGGGTGACAGATAAAGGGGTAAATATCCAAGTAAATCCTGACAGCCACATTATAGGCCTCTCATGTAACAGATGAAGCTCTACAAACTGGACAGGCTAAATTAATTTAGCATCTCAACCACTGAGAATAGAATCTCTCTATTACCGTCTAATTCCAGCCACCTATCTATATAAAGCTTTGTCTCAGAAACTCTTCAGTGAGGAGCCATCTGTCTTTGTGTCACTTACAGAGCAGCAAAGCCTCTTACTTATGCAATTTATTGACACTTTATGGGTGCCTTTAGTCCCTGAGTACTTATCGCTGTTTTCCAAATGCAATTCCAAACGACAGTGACTAAACCAGCTTGGGGATAGAAAGTAAGGACTGTATGAGAGTACTGATGGTAAGTATTAAACCCTGACATGATGTTTAATGTGCTTGCTAATCAATATCCATAATGCTTAATGATTTTAACTGCTGGCTATCACTGTTGTATTTTTACTACATAGCCATATCTTTAAGTAATCTAAAAAATGCCAAGAATTTTTTACTATGCTATTATTGCCCCTGCTAAAATTTGGCTCTATCAATGAAAAAAGAAACTTGTCTTAAAATCAAGCTTTTAGCATGTATTGATTGATGCGTTTGCATATTGCTAGGTGTCACTTAGTTAAAGAGAGTTCATTTGGGTATCACAATAGATGCCTAGAGCTAGTGGGAGAGACTTGCATTTGCTACTGCAAACATATTGGAAAGAACCCTGAACAAAGTTTCAACAGAAGCACTGTTAGACTCCCCTCTATCTGTGTGCTTTCTTTTTTTAAATTTAATTTAATTTTTTTTGTGAAAATACTGTACAGAGGGGTTACAATTACATGGGCAGGATAATGCGTACATTTCTTATCAAGCATTTCAGCCTCCTCCTTTGTTTATCCTTCACATCCCTTCCCAGCTTCCCCGCCACCCCCCAATACTCCCCCCCACACACCAACGCTGTAAAGCTAGTTTTCGACATGACAACTTGTACTTCTCATTGTTGCAACAAGTCCACCTGTATCCTTAAACGACTTGTTTTTCCCCATCTCCTCC